GTCGAAACTCGGCCATATATGCGTGTTCTTCAAAACCGCGCCAAGATGGCTCTGCAGTTCAAACGGCCTCAACAGTCTGCGTATGTAGTTATGCTTGTATCATTCGGTCTTAACTGAAAGCACGTTGCAGCGACGCGATTATTGAGATGCTGCGCCTCTCCCCTGATGACAGGCTCAATCAACACACGTGGCTTGGATCCATTCTCTGTCGTCTCGGGCGCTACTCTGATGCCCTCTATTTCATACAAGTCTATTTCGTTATATACACCACCAAGGGAGATGAATGTCCAGTCCCGGAGCGGGGTGGAACAATCTTCAGAGCTCCCTACAGGACCGTATATCCTCCAGAGAGAGAAAAAGAGCTGGAGTATCCGACATGTTTTCTCACCTACACAGCTGCTCTCGCGTCGTTCAACCTTTGGGGTGACTGTGAAGAATCACGCCAGTATCTCCGAATCGCAGCGAGAGGCAATCCGCATGTCATGGTCAAGCTTCTAGCGAAGATCAAGCAGCCAGGTAATGAATGCTTTCCAGTCATTATTGAGGAAAACATCTCAATACCAGCATAGAGAATATGAACAATGAGGCGAGACCCTACAACGGCAGAGAGGATGCGCATGACTATCTCTGGCTAGCGCAGGATATGTGGATGAAGCCTGACATTTGGGAATGGGTGAATAGCCAACCGGAGGCTCACCAAGTAACTCTCAAGCCTTGTGGAAACGCTTCGTGCGACCGAAGAGAATCCGGTACTGCCGAGTTCCAGCAATGTTCGTCCTGTCACCAGGTCGGTTTCTCTGGCGTCTCTGTACGCATGTACACTCACCGATGCGTTTTAGATTTGGTATTGTAGTGTCACCTGCCAGAGAGCGGATTGGAAAAGCCACAAATCAGGCCAGTCTGCCGCTCATTCTCTTTGGCGAACTACTGCTGAATGGGACTTACGTGTTTGCAGAATGCCAAGCTAGAAAGCTGCAACAACAAGCCAAGAAGGCATTCGCGGCAGGACAGCCGCTTCCCGAGAAGGCGAAAATGCCTATCTTTGCGGCAGATATCACCAGTGAAGGCATACATCTGTATGATGGACTGAAGGCGACTGCGACTGAGATCCCAGAGGGCATTCCAAAGCCGAAGAAGAAAAAGAAGAAGAGTAAGAAAACTTCTTCCTTGTAGTACACTTGTGTGTATTCTCAAATCTCTTGTATTCACTGTACGCCTATTTTGACTCATCCGCTTCGTTCTTACTAAGCTGCCATCGAGGGCCTAGTATTCATTCGTGTTTCGTCTGCTACAATACATGCCATCTACAGGTGCAACAGCGAGAATAAGAATAATGCGATAGAACTTGAAAGCAAATGACAACAGAAAGCAAGAGGAGGGAGGGAGGTAACGCGGCGGAGGGAGGAAGGAAAGCAAAGGAGAGCATAAGGAAAGCAAAAGAAGGAGAGCATACGGATAGCATAATGGGCATAGCATAGGGCATAATACGGAAGAAGAAAAGCACACTCAAAGGCAGAAGGGAAAGAGGAAACGCGCGATAAGGAAAAATGCGAGCAATGTAGCGCCTAGCGCAACTACAAAGCCGAGAAGAATGAGGATCGAGAATGAGGCGACGAAGCTCTTCATCTCTTTTTCTGAGACGGGGCCTTCGATGACAGGTACGTTCTTTGGGAGTACTACCGCGGGAGGAGGTGGCGGGAGCGTCTCGATTTCCGTCAACGACATACGCCGAGCCGGGGGTGTGACAACGTCATATACACCCGGCCAGAGACGGGAAGGGAGCGCAGAAGGCGAGGGCACCGGTAAAGCGACCCGCGGAGAAGCTCCCATCTCGACACGGCGCTTTTCTGCACAAGCCATGTTTCCCTCGTCAATGGTATTCCTCCGGCGCTTCTTTGCAACGATCGTTGGCGGGCAGGGGCAGGAACTGTTTCCTGGAGTTGGGAGGGAGCGCAAGTAATCATAGGTTCGACTACACTATTTGCGCGATATCTCGGTCTGGTCGGAACCTCGACGGCGGGACGTGGAGGTATCGCAGCGGGCTAACAAAGAAATGTTAAGAAACAGGCAGACGTGAATTTGAAACAAGATACCTCTGGCGCCTCTATCGCAAGAGTCTCTTTAGACTTCTCCTGTTTTCGAAAAGCCTTGGGGCTGAGCCTTTTGATCAGCGGGAATCCCAAGGCTCGCGAGGATGACAGGAGACGAGGAAGGGTTTGGAGAATGAACGTGTGGAGGACTTGGAACCATCAGACCGAGCTGGCGCCACACTAGGGAACGTGGAATGGGGATCGCTTCCGGGTCCAGCTCTGGAGCAGTGAGCCTCAGTGGGCGTTTAAGGCGGGTCTCTTGGGAAAGCAAGTCGCTTTTATGTAGGAAGTTGTCTACCTCCTGAACTGAAGGTCAGTGCTATGGCCCGGAGAGGTGGCTGAAGACGTACAGCTTGTGCTCTTGTTGGGCTATAGCAAGTTTCCTGCTCTTGGATGAGCGACGAGCGAAATAGTCGACGACAAGAACTCACTTCGGGATACTCATAAACAGGGCCCAAGGTATCTCTGTTGTCTTTCCAGGCGGTACGAGCGTCCGCGTAGGCGACTGCGAGCGAACGATCGAGCAGCGCTCTGGCGGCGCGCGTCTGGTCGTAGATTTCGACGGCGGGAAACACTATTTGGCGGTCCTGTATTTGGTGTCAAGAATGTCAGAGGGTGATGACTGGCGACTGACTACGTACCGAGCGAGGAGGAGGAACAGTTGAACATGGGACGTATCCGTCGGAGTCAAGCAGAGACCAATACATGCTGACGGTCTAGTCGGGGGAACATGCACAAGAGCAGGCAGAGGGCAGACGTTGACGGAGGTATCTCGCGGAAGGATGATGGTGGTGGGATAAGACCAGTGTTTAGCAGCGCAGTTGCATTATATACGGCCACCAAAGAGTCCACAATTTGCAATCGCATTGTCCAGGATGTTCAAAGTTGTGGACGATCGCGTCACAGTCACCGCATGGTCGGACTCGCTTTTGGCGAACAATGGCCACACAGAAAAGAGGGTCCAAGGATTTACTTTGTTCAGAGCAACTCAGAGAAAGCCAAGAAGTTTGAAATGTGTCTATTGTGAGGTGAGTCCGATGAAGCGCCATAGATAGAAATCTTTGCCTTGAGGCGAACACGACGAGAACATAGAGAGTGGTGGCTTGCGAACAAAGAGATGACCCTGAATCGCTTCCCAATCGGGTATGCTGGTGAGCCTAAAAAGGTAACTCTTCCCTCCGACCCTTGCAACAAATTCACACAAAGGATGGGGATTTATTCATGCTGGAACAGCCGTGCCGATGAGAGCATTTCGGACCGCGTACCAGTTGATTCTCGTAAGCGCATTAACGCTGGAGATTTGACGCGTCGTGTTACAACAAGTAGCTCTACTGGATTTTTCCAACGCGGGCTACGAGAGGCAGTCCAGATTGGTACCGGATCTGGAAATTGCGTGGATCACCTTTGATGCACAGAGACCTATACGCTCAGTTGAGAGGATAGATGTGGTGTTACTTGAACTACTCACATGTCTGTTGAAAATGATTAGGCGTAGACTTCAAAATGATCAACATGTATCACTTACATTGCGTTCCAATGAACATGTAATAGGTACCAATGCCCTTAAGACACTGTCAAATAGGCGGGCGGCGGGCTTCATGAGACGCTTACTGTGAGCACATGCCACCAAGAATGACCTTTGGAAGACGCGTCAGACAGACTTGACTGATGGAAGAATGATAGCATGGCAAGTACCTTCCAATAAGAAGGCGGCGGGCCACCCGAGCGATGTCTTCCAAAGCGTCAACACGTCGCAAAAGATGTTGTCCAGGTTCCACACGAGAAAGCCAAGGATGAATATTCCAGCTCCCATCGTATATATGTTGGCGATCTGAGCTTTCTTCTCGTCAGGAATCTTGGTGCGAATGTCCGACCATTTGAGTAGATACGTGATACGTATGGCGGACCCGAGAACAATCGCGCCGAACACGACCTGATGATAAATCGGGTTTCGGTACAGAATACTGGGGAGAAGGGATTTAGTGCGGGTATGCAGAAGAGCCGTGCGATGGTGCATACTAGGACCAAGTGAATAACGCGTCCAACACGGCGATGGTTATTAGAGAGGTTATAGTCCGCCGACTGGTCATCGAGAAACCCGGTACGCGGTCATAGAGGAACCATAGACTTGAAGAAGCCACGTATATCATTGGGAGTTCATCAGCAAGCTGGTAGTGGAACAACAGTGTTGCGTGAAAGGCAAAACTTCCAATGCCGACCATAGCAAAGCCCTGCTTGATATCAGCGTGTATTTGATAGGCCAACGAGAGGCGCGCGCGCACCAGAAAGCCGGCGCCGTATCTTCCCGGTAGTGACTCTTGAAATACGTTGCGGATCCCATAGAAGGCGAGGGAGATGGAAAAGACATTGGAGAACGAGTTCGCCATCTCTGCGATGTAATACGAGAACTGATAGTTTGCCTGTCCGACGCAATCGGTAACGACACCAGTCAGCAACGAGGATACGGACCTCACACCAATCCAAAGTGGCCGTTATCGGGCCATGGTATCCGGGGTGGTTTACAGCAAGAGTAGAGGTGGCCATGGTGGTATCAACACAGGACAAAGAGTAGGATATACAGAGGACGAGACACTAAGCCGGAGGCCTGAGGTCGGCTCGTTTTGGGTGAGACTGTTTCCAACTTTAAGCCGTAGAGCGATGTTCCGTGAGGGGCGTCTTTCGTGTCACATTGGCAACGTAAACCATTTAAAGCATCCTGACAAATGAAGCCCTGCTCGTTTGGATTGCCCATTCCGGCATCGTGTTGCGCTGATATCGCAGTCACTGAGTCAGTTTCGACGCTATCGATGATGGTTCCCGATAGGGATGTGCAGCGGACTGTAGGAGCAAAAGAGCCGACTCGGAAACGCGGTGGCAGATACTTTAACCTTCGTGTACCCATTTTACACAGACTCCATAGCTAAGCGGTTATAGCACACGATTGCAGCTTACGTAACATCGTGAGGTCCTGTGTTCGATTCACAGTGGTGTCTTGAAGGTCGGCTTCAATATAGGGTGGTGCAGTAAACCTCCGGGGGTAGTATTGATACCGACCCCCCAGGAGGCCCTGGTTTTGAAACCGTTACTAACGGTTTCGATACCAGCACGTGCTTTTACCACGTGATGTGGCGCACCGCTCCTCCGCCCTCCGCCCGCCCTTATCCCGCCACTTTCAGCTTGCCTCAGTGCCAGCGCGCCATCACGTGAATTTGTCACGTGTCGGTATTGAAACTGTACTGATACCTCGGCCGAGGTTTCAATACCGAATCAATACTGTTAAAAACCGCAGTAAACCCGAGGTGTATCGAAACCTACGGTTTACTGCACCACCCTACTTCAATATCTTGGCTCGATAACTATGCTTGTGGGCCGGACATGTCAGAAAATAAAAATAAAAGAAAAGAAAAGAAAAGAAAAAGAAAAAAAGGGAAAGGAAAAGAGGAGGAGAAAGAGACACCAGTTATCTATGTTACCCACCTCAGACGACGATGCTGCTTCTCGATTCGCGTGTTTGAGAGAGTCAGAGGACGAGAAATGAGTCGGCGATAAAGTCCGTCGGAACTCGGTCGGAAGGCTGCTGATCGGCAGATCGGCAGGATGGTGCTGAAGACATAGCGATACCATTTATTGCATTATTTCCTCACCCTCTATCTCCCTCAAAATTTTATCGCAGATCCAAAATGAGTCAGAGATGACAGAAATAAATTCTCATTGCCATTCAACAAGATTGTGATTTAAGGAAAATGAGATCGCTATGTATCTGCTCATCATCGGAGTTTCAATTCGCGAACATGATCGCTACCAATGACTTGCACGTTCGCTTCGTCGCTCTGTTTCCGCGATTCCTTGATCTCGACGCGCCATGACCTGCACCCTTTCTCTCACAATAAATCACTCGAGTCCACGAAGCCGCTCGTCCCCGGATCCACCACATTCGTTGAAATGTGCTTTGCCTCGATGACCGGAATCTGAATGATAGATCAGAGGGAAGGCACATCGAGGAGTGAAGAGATGTCTGAGAAGTAGATGGGGTTGTTGGAGATGGTAATTGAGTATTTCTCTTCTATGGATTGCGGTGGACTTGTTACAGGTGCGTTTACTGGATGTCCTGTTCCATTACATGATTACATCTGACTGACATTGTTCTCAGACTGTACACAGAAAACTACGTCCTTTCTTCGTGCACTTCTCCTTCTACTCTCTGGATTCCATCAGCCATCCCTGCACCATTCTGCCAGTCGCGAATCTGACGCGCTGTCTTCACCCCTATAGCTTGCAACGTAGGGCACGCTGACATTGTGCCTCGCGGAGGTCCCTGGCATGCTGTTTTACCACAGTGGCGACACGCGCCGGTGCAGTTTTTCCTTCCGCCACTCCCATTACATTCTTGACCTCGACCACATTTCCCGCACATCCGTCGACTTCTGACTCGACTTCCTTGCTGTGTATCTGCGGATGCACGATCTGGTGTCCCGTCTGTCAAGCCTTGGTCTGTCGAGGCTTGAATTTGAGAGGAAGATTGCTGAATGCTGGAAGCTTCGGGAATAGGTTCCTGTCGTTTGCGCGATCTTGTCGATTGTGCGCGTTTCCTCTTCTGTCCAGCCGTGGAACGAACCTCGGCTTCATTGCTGTCGGACGGGATTTGAGAGGGCAAGATGACGTGAGATGTCGTGTTGTCCTCGTTGTCTTGCTCATTTTCGCCTGTCGTTGGGGCAGTATAGCTCGGCGTGGATATCTGAGGCACAGGTGGCGCTTTTTCCGTTCTGGCATCTTGACTGCGAACCAGATCATCGACAGCCTTCCGAGCATTGTGGGTTATCATTTTGGTATGTTTGATATTCGCATTTTGTAGCCATTTCTTATGGGATTTTTGCAGATGTTCGATCAGCTGTCATCGTGTATCAGAGATGTAGTATTGATATTGACGAAGATACGTACCTTATAGAAGATTGTTTCTCCATTTGCTTCTCGATTCCATCGCTTAACTGCGTCGCGCCAAACTGGGCCATTCGGTCCTGCGAACGACTGGTCGTCACGCATCAGGTTGGAGTATAACCGACGCTCGGCGGCTCCGACAATGGTAATGACTGGAAAGCGAGTACCCTGTTTCTTGGCAAGGTAGGCATGTCGCTTCGGAGGAAGTGCATCACTGTATGAGAGCATATCGGCCTCAATTCGAACACTGTCGGGGACTGGTAGGATTCCAGAAACCTCGTCGGTTTGATGATACAGATCTCCGTTCACCCAACCAGTGACTACTCTGGCGGATGGAACTAAGAGTCGAAGTTGTTCTGAGTTGATGATCCTCTGGCGCTTGTTTGTAAGCCACAGGTCATAGTGACCTGAATATCGGTGACCCGTAGAGTTGTATGTCCCGACCTGGATACTGTCAGACGCACTGGTAAGGTTGTAATGCGAAACACTTACATCAACATTATGCCCATAGATGTAATCCAGAAGCCGGTTGTTCATATGGCGTGGAGAGACACCGTTGATAGGCATAACTGCATGCATGGTGCGATGAACTCCACCCTCGGTATAGTTCGTTCCTCTACAGCAGCGATAGAGAGGTAATCCATTCTCGGCGATCCCGAGCTGGATATAGAGTGCAACGCCCGGAGGATCAGAGATATACCCACGTCGTACATACTCCAAAATGTTCTTCACTGAGTTCCAGGTAGCCTTACCAAATAGTGGAGTTCCTTGAGTATCCTTGAGCGGTCCATAGGTCTCGATTACCTTTGATACGACAGGATAAAGGACCTCGGCAGGTGGTACAGACATTTTACAGTGGTGCTTGATCAGTGTGGGCTTGAATATACAGCATTCATCCCAGGTCATCGGAGGATTCTGTCGTGCAAGCCATGAGATCAAGCGTCGTTTGTCATCCTTATCAGGAAGGAAGATCGCATCTCGTAAAGTACGAGCGAAGACGGCGCGCAGAGGGTGAGACTTTGGTATCCAGATCATTTGGAAAACATGAAATATATCTTTCAGGACGCGACTACGAACATCCACGGGCCAGTCCGTTTGCTGTACGTCACGGAGAATCTGCGCGCAGATGGCTGCAGCTTCCCGATCAATACTGAACTGCGAGATAGGAGGATCCGGAGAAGCGTACGGAGTGTCGCTCTCTCCAGTCTGATTGCGTAGGAGAGCAGGATCAGTTTCATAATCGATACTGATGCGTTCAAATACGCTAGCAGATTCCTCGTCGTCCTCAGCATCATCCAGACCGCCTACTGCAGCTTCGGCAGAATGACTCGCCTCAGGTTCGGTATTTCATGTTTGAATCGGAGTTGTCTTCAGAAATGAAGTTTGGGATGTATGTTCGTAGCCGGGACTTGAGCGCAACAATTGCAAAGGGAACCGTTCCGAACTGTGAAAGCTCCATTCGTCGGTGAGTGGTGATAATAGCACCAGGAACAAAAACACGGCTGGACAGTGATGAGGACCGACTGGGACTAATGTTGATACCATCGAAGGCATCAATGTCCCGTAATCATCGGCAATAATACCCTTCGCGAGAATTGTTGTACGGTCATCTTGGTAAAGAAAGATTTCCGTTCGTGGAAGAAACTCGACTAAAGGGGATGGAACGTGGATGGATTGCAGGCACTTGTAGATCTCTAACGGGATCCATGCATCAAGTGCAGCGTATCGTATTTGATTCGAGGACAGATCTGCTCGACTCCAGTCAGGACTGACTCGGATGGTGTTATCCTTGTCAAGCTGAAGCTTGAGAACCTCTGCACAGAGTGCCGCTAGGCCCAGCCGTGAGCTCTTCACCAGACCCTTCTCCTTCGCAACGTGAGCAATATCAATATCTCCGACAAAGTCCTCGGAAGAACAGCTCTCCTCCTGCAGTGCTCTAAGGTCCTGCGCCACATTACGGCCCACTTTATGAACCTGTGGGTTTATCAAGAGCGCTTTGAGCTGAATAGGAAGGTGGCCTTCAGATAAATGGTCTGTCAACTGGAAGATCCAGACCCGCTCTCCATGCGCCAACTGTAGTATAGCAGTTCGACGAGGATCGGGTAACTGTTGGCGGCGTGCATCTATATCCACATTCCACTCGGTATCCAACCCAACAGTTAAAATTCTGCCTCAGATGCGGAGGCCGCATCTCTGATGTCGGGCGACGTGGTCGAGTCAATGAGAGCTAGAACGGCCTCATTGATCTGCTCGGCGGTTGAACAAACATGGATAGTAGCAGTTTCGGGAAGTTTCGCAAGGGGGAGGTCGCTGTGAGGTCCAATGGGATTGATATTCGCCGCAAACTTGGAAACAATCCCTCAAAAAGGCTTTGTCTGCAGGTTGTCGGTGAAGGCAGCTTCTGGCTTGCACAGGCCATATCTCTCCAGCGATCTGTTGACCTTAACGACTGCATCCTCAAACTGAGCGCGCGCTTTCGTAGCAACAAGGGCACACACCGTATTTGGCCAAGCTCGTTTGTGATCGTGAGTGTGCCCTCATGTACAGTTTGGCCGTCAATCTTCGCGCCGTGTTTCATGGTCTATAATACTGAATTTAGTGCTGCATTATAGATCGAATAGAGAAACTGACCTTGAAAGCATGATCGAGTGCGGCAATGCGTAGACTGATAAGTGAAGTATGCTGCTGAAATTCCGGCTCGTGCATCTCTATGAAGTTATCATATGCATCGCGGCACCAATGCGACGATGGTAGGACAGTGTGAAGCCGCGTTCAGTCTTGTCGTTGTAAGCGGGGAATGGTTCAAATGATGTCTGTCCGAAATGCTGGCCCTGGGCGGCGCGATCGAGGATAGCCTCATAGTATTGCACCTCAAGCATCTCATAATGACGCTTGTGAAGAATGCGAAGACATTTCGAGAATTGTTGGGCGCCCATCCGGTTCTGAAAGCAGCACCGTAGCAACGCAAATACAGCAGCAGACATGCCACTGCGGTGCGTGAGATGAGCGGGGAATTCAACCGCAAGATGTCCGGGTAACTTCTCTCGCACTCGTTGAT